TTATAAATTATGATCATTAATTGGATCATATACAAATCACATTTTAGAAGCTAGCTTTAAAGGAACTCTTTGCGTTACATAGTTATTAAAATGAATTGAAATGGAGTTTTTTTTCTTCTTGTTTCAACAGCATTATATTAAATGGCTGGATCAAGTGAGCCAAGCCATTAGAACTAATTTACAAACTACTGTAAATATAGCCAATTAAGTAGAAAAATCTCTGCATGGTGGAAGAACAAATTGCTACTTTTACTAATTATGAATATGATGTCTAGATTTAGACCTTATACAAAAATAGATTTGATACACTATAAATGGTTTAATTACTAGAGGGCTAAAGAAAAGTTTGTTTTCAGATCTTTGATATAGTAAAAAGATCCTTAATTACACATAAAGTAATAAAAATTTAATTATTTTTGTTTAAAGAATTGATTTTTCATATAACACCAAAGAAAACGTAAACATAAATTAATATTGAAGTAATAAAAAACCCAACACCATATCAACTAGCTAGGAGTGAGTGAGAATGGATGAGGCCAGAAAGGAAATGCAGTGGATCTTAATGGACCTTCCTCTGTGTAGAAGAGAGTGATTGTTTGGGAGGTGATATCGAAAACACCAAAGTTATGTCCCGCGAAATAGATGCAATTAGGCTTAAGACCTGGAGACGAGCTTGCTGGGACACACATAGGTTCACCATGTCCAAGAAAAATACAAAGATCTCCAATATTTTCAGTGTAATACATATCTTTGTCTCTTGTAACCTTTTCTTGCTCTTTAAACACCAAGAACCGCTTTGTTTTGTGCACGACTGCGTCTGACTCAAAGTCGTCTCCGTAGTACCTTTGAACACAACATGAGAGAGCCATTAATGAAACAGCTACTGTATACTTGTGAAAGAAAATAACAAAAACTATATACGTAGTGTACCATGAGATGAGGAATTGTTCCCCGGAAGGTGACTCCACTAGATGATCTGTCCTGGTAAACGAATTCATCTCCTCCAACTCGTACAACATATATTGAGGAAGATCTTTTTTACAAATTAAATCATACTTGGGCTCGTCTTTCTCTTTGAAGTTGAGACCAAATGAGCACAAGTATACGCCACCAGGAGTTGGAGTGTAAAATCTTTGATCTTTCTTAGAGTACATGAGACTTGAGTATGGGCATATAGACTCATGCCCATGCGTGGTTTCGATATCGATCCACCGTAAGTCTTTATGCCTATATAGCATAAGCCGAGATACCGAAAACTTGATAGCAACGACCCAATCATCATTTTCTAGGTCAGGAAGACAGGACATGACAAGGTTTTGGATTTGAGAGCCTTTTGGAAGAGGAGGTAGATGAACAGAAACAGATTTTGATTTAGGGTCAGAGGGCTTGTAATAGATGTTTAGACGAACGTTATCCATATCACGGAGGAATGTTTTTTCCTTCATGTGAATATTCACTCCACTTTGATTCAATCCCTTAGTCATTGCCTGGCAGACTTCTCCAGCCAAAAACTTGTTCTTAATTATGATTTCATTTTCACCCTCTGATCCGGACCTTCTTGATATCGAGTTGATACCATTTGAAGAACCTCCGACTTTAAGGAGGTGGTCAATTAACATAAAAGGGTAGATTGGTGTAGACGAACACCACCGAACCAAGTTATTGTTTCTCTGCCAAAATGTAAGTACGTTGAACTAATCATATAAATAAAAATTCACTAGTAGAACCCTAAAATAAAATCCCTAATTATAGTAGAAATTAAGAATTAGAAAGAAAAAACTTACAAGGACATTTGTGTGGACAAGGGGCTTCAAGATTCGGCTGAGAGGTTGAGACATTTTTCTAGAATCTTTAAAACTATGTTAAGGTGATTTCTCGTGTGGGTCTTCTCTAGTCTCTATAGAGACTTAGGGGGTGTTATTGGTTTGGGATTTAGAAAGACTTTTAGTGACTTGATAATAAAGGATTTTAAAAGATTGTTAAAAAGTTTTATATTATCTTGATGATTTATTTTCCAAAATCTTGTAAAGTCTTTAAAACTTTTTTCCATAATCTTGTATACTCTTGATGACTTTTCCAAACTTTTCCTACAAAATATTTCCAAAATCTTGTCCAATTTTTATTAACGTCTAGTGACCATCTTCTATCTTCTATATAACATGTTCTGTGTAGGCCTGGTTTTCTTCTATATACTAGGTTGTTTATCAGAGTTACAGAGGTACGCTTCTTCTATCATAATACTCGCTTATGAATTTCGTGTGTCGATCGTTAGATTCTTGTATGTTCATATAATATTTAATTGTTTTCATTGTGTTTGGATCTTTTGATTCTCTAGCACCAAAATCTATAAAATTTGCAAAAGTCAAGTGATGTGATACGTTTGGTTTAATAATATATACATGCGGAGATTTGCTTATGCTGTGATACGTTTGGTTTTGTGACAAGTCAATGGTCTTTTTTTTTTGATACGTTTGATTTGCTTATCATGATCATAATAATTCATAAGTGTAGATGTGATACGTTTGGTTTAATATTAGGATGTTTGAATGTGAAAAAAATGTCAATAAGATTTGCTTAGTCAAAGATAAGTTGTTTGAATATCGGACATCCTTATGTTTTATATTCATCTGTAACAAATGCTTTTAGTCAATGGGAGATTCCCAAAAGAGTAAGGAAAAGGGTCCATACAATCAATGGGGACCAGAGGAGACAAAATTGTTGGTAGAGTTACTTGTTGATGCAGTTCACCGAAATTGGCGTGATAATAGCGGTATCTTTAGCAAGCTAACGGAGTTGATATAAGTTTTTATTTACCAGAGAGTTGTACTAATTTGGTTCTTCGATTTTGCGGTTTTGAGTCTTGATAGTCTTGTTTTTGCTTCATCTTCTTCCTTTGATATCTTCTGATTCAGACCTCGGTTTGGAGATCTAAAAGTTGTTCTGAAATCTTGAGATCAAGATATTTCCAACCGTATAAAGATAAGCTTCTGATTCCTTGTGAGTCGACTTGAGAAAAAGTTTGAAGTTGGTGCACTTCAGCTTCGTCGCTCTGTTCTTCGGTCTTGGTAGATTGGTCATAACTTTCAGACCGTGACAGCAAATCACGTTCCGCTTTTTCCTGTAGCTTCGTATATCTCTCTACTATTTTTCAACAAAGTTTCATATTTTTCTGGGTTGTTTTGATAACCCTTTCAGTCTTTGAACCAGAACACGTCTGTTCTGTTATCCTTCTTCTTCTTTTTTGGTTTTCTTGTTTTTTGTCTTTGTCTTTGTCCATTCATTCACCAATCAAACACAAACCCAACAAATAGAAAACTGTTTATTAAGCGAAGACAAATAGATGACCAAGACAAAGACAAAAAACACAAACAGATCATATCATCTCATAAACAGATGTCTTTGTCTCCTCCATTCCCCAATTTTGGAACTTGAAATTGCTGGAGAACAGGAGAAGCAGCGACGGAGACGATTCCGGTGTCAAAGATTGCTGACACATACAAAGTCATGGACTCTATTCACAATCTCTCTATTTTATGGGAGAGTTTTCATGACTTTTTTTATGAAGAAAATTAGATAAAATCCTAAACCAATAACATAATATTTTAATTTATCAACAATCCAAGATTCTTTTGTTTTAATTGAATAACACAAAACTTTTAATGACTCTATAAAACTCTTAATCCAATAACACTAGATTTATAAAGATTTTAGATTACTTTTTATAAATCTCAAACCAATAACACCAAATTGTAATAGAGTTTTTAAAAGTCTTGATTGAATAACAACATATTCTACATAACTTTTAAACTCATTAAAAGTCTTTCTAAATCTCAAACCAATAACACCCCCTTATGCTTGATGACCAAGTTGACATTGAAGAGGAGAATAATTTTCATAAGGAAATAAATAATTAGACATATTTGAAGGTAGAAAATGAAAGCAAATATAAAGAATTAATTTGACCTTTGATATTTGAGTATCCATCGGCCTCATTGCCAGATATTTTAGCTAAAAATGTAAATCTATACTATTTTATCTAATGATATCTATAAAATATAAATATCTTAGAAAATGATACAATTTGCAAACTTTTATATATAATAAATAATCGTTAAATTTAAAAAATTACTATTTTTAGAAAACAAATCACGGGACGGGTTAAGAAATTACAGGACAAGATATATTTTGGAACGAAGTTATATGGTGGATGAGTTTGAATCAATATTTATAAAATTTTAAAATATCATTAATATGCCGCTTTAATACAAATTAAATCTTCAGTTTATTAAAATATAAATGACTTAGAGAATGTTATGATTTGTAAACTTTTATATATAATAAATAATCATTAAATTTTATAACAAAAACAAATCACGGGACGGGTTAAGAAATTACGGAACGGGTTATATATATTTCGGAATGGGTTTATATAGCAGACGAATTTGAATCAATATTTATAAATATCATTAACATGCCGCTTTAATACAGGTTAAATCCTCAGTTTATTAATAATTGTCTCGTGGACTCGTGGTATACCGTTACTTAATAACAATTGTAAACTATAATATAAATAAATATTTTATAAAGAAATACAATTTACAAAATATTTTTATACGAACTTTAAAAATAAATCATCCCGCGGTGTACCTCGGGTTAAAATCTAGTACCAGATTATTTTATCTAATGACACACTAGTTTACATAATCTCATGAATATTCTTCAATATACATAGTTGTTTTTTTTAGCCAATTAGTTATCACCCTTTCCCCATATAGTCATCTACTAAAATCACCCTAGCTATATTATATATTGTCCTAGCAACATAAATTTCCACCATTCAGCAGTTTCATGCATATCAAAATATGGATCAAATAAATGCAATCAACCTGAATTTCTCATCTTTTATTTCTACATACAACCTTGTTAACGAAATTCTTTCATAATAACTTCAAATACAAAGACTTTCACTAAAAAATCAAGATAAATTTATATATTTTATTGTAAAAAGTGTTCTTTCAAATAAAGCATATAAAAAAAAATACAACATGACATCATATTAATTAGGAGTGAGCGAAAGTGGATGAGGCCAAGAAGGAAATTGAGTGGAGCTTAATAAACCTTCATCGTTGGTGAAGACAGTGCAAGTTTGGGTGGTGATATCGAAAACACCATAGTTATGTCCCCTGAAATAGATGCAATTAGGCTTAAGACCAGGAATAGTGCTCGCTGGGACACATGAAGCTTCACCATGTCCAAGAAAAATACAAAGATCTCCAATGTTTTCGGTGTAAGACATGAATTTTGTTTTTCTATCGGTTAACTGTTCATCCTCTCTAAACACCTTGAACGACTTTGTTTTGTGAATGACTGTTAACTCTTTGTAAAGTTCAAACTCGTCGCCATAGTACCTTCAAACACATTAGAGAGTCGTTAATCTGTCAACACGAAAATTGATTTACACTAATATATCATAATTAGTGTAACAAAGTTAAGAAATATTTACCATGTAATAAGGAAGTGTTCACCGGAGGGTGACTCCACCATGTGGTCTGTCCTGGTAAAGGAATTCATCTCCATCAACTCGAACAACTCATACTTAGGAAGATCTTTTTTTCGCAGCTCGACAAACTCGAGCTTATCCTTCTCCTTGAAGTTGAGATCAAAGGAGCACAAGTAATTGCATCCAGGAGTTGGAACGTAGAACCTTTGATCTTTCTTAGAATACATGAGACTCGAATGAGGACTTATAGACTCATGAGTGGTTTCGATATCGATCCACCGAAAGTCTTTGTTATGTCTATAAAGCTTCAACTTAGATCCTGAAAACTTGACAGCCATAACCCAATCTTCATTGTTTATGTCAGGACAAGAGGACATCGCTATGTTTTGGACTTGAGAACCTTTAGGAAGAGGTGGAAAGTAAAAATTCTTGGTTATGTTTCGAGATGATATGTATTCCATGTAGAGATGAACATTATCAATAAACTTGGGGAGTGTATACTCTGTCTTCTCCACCATGTGAATATCTCGTCCCCTTTGGTTAAATTTGATATTCATTGTTCTACGAACAACTTCAGCGAGTTTCGGGTCCTTAATCAAAACTTCTTTTTCACCTATTGATTCGTCGCCTCTCTCTATGCGACCATCTGAAGAATCTCCCACCTTAATGATGTGGTCAATTAACATAAACGGGTAGCTACCGAGGCTTTGCGTAGACGAACGCCACGTCCGAACCATTATGTTGTGTCTCTATCAAAATGTAAGTACGTTAAACTAATCATACAACAAGAACCAATATATAGTAGTTAAATAAACACCAATTATTGTATACAGAATTAAAAAGAAAACTTACGAAGACGTTTTTGTTGACAAAGGGTTTCAACATTTGACTGAAAAGTTGAGGCATATTTCTAAAATCTCTAAACTATGTTGAGGTGATGATTTTTAGTGTGGATCTTCTCTCGTCTTCTCTATAGAGATTTATGCTTGAACACCAAGTTGACATTAAAGACGAGAATAATATTTTTAAGGAAATAAATAATTGGAAATAATATTTTATTTCCTTAAAAAATATTATTCTCTCATTAATGTCCTTTAATTTAATGTCAGCTTTGTTGTTCAATGTTTTATCTATACATGTGGCTAAGGGGACACAACAACAACAACAACAAGAAGATGGTTCGGTGGTACTCGTCTATGTCAATCTACCTGTATATGTTACTTGACTACATCCTTGAACTCTGCAGATTCTGGCGACGATTCTCCAGATGGTCGAATAGCCATAGAGGAATGGTCACATAAAAAACGCATTGTGATTAAGGACATAGCTAGACCTCGTGCAGGCCTACCAATTTTAGAGGAAACAAAGGAATGGATTATGATTAATCTTGTGGCAAATGAATGGATTATGAACATCACTCCCCAATTTGTGGCTCAAGGGTGTATCCCTATTATTCGAGAATCTGCTATTAGAATTTTTTTAAGGAGAATACTGTATACTGTATATATATGTTGGCAACTAAAAAATGGAGCAAGTACACGGTAAAATATGGATATTGGGTCGCAGCGTGACATGCTTCTTCAAGGAACATAGGACCAAAATATACAGATTTGGCTAGTTTTGTCTTGATGTGTAATGTAGTAGTGAATTTTGTCCAAAATGTAAAGAATAGAATCTTGGTGTTCAAAAAAAAAAAAAGAATCTAAACCAAACAAAATCCGCACTAAAACTTATATTTTTTCTTCAGAGTTTATTCAATTAAACGAATCAATTCAGGAATCAGATTAAAAATCCTGGCAAATGAAAAAGGAGAAGAAAAAAAAATTAAGTTTCAACTCTCTCTTGACCTAAATTCATATTGAGATTTGTCATCAACTTTCCACCATTAACAACATTTCCAATCTCTCTCTTTTATCGTTCAGAACATTCTCTTCTTCTCATCATCACATATTTAAAAAAGTCTCAAAACCAATAGACAGTCAAATCAATAACCTATGATACTTTTGTGCAACACCATGTACAAAATCATTGAGAGTGCAAGAGGAAGAAAGATTACAATCCGCTTCGGCGCCCTAACAGTAAGACTATCGACGCAGCATCCTTCTTCAAAAATCGTCTCAAGCTTTGGCAAGTCTGAGAATTGCTGTTGTTGTTTCTGGTGAGATGCAATAAGCCTTGGTGCTACCTCTCCCCATGTTTGAACAAACCTCATTTCCTTGGCCATTTTTTTTTCTTACACCCAGTTTTCTTTTCCCCGACAACAATCCAATGCAGCAGAAGGAAAACACGGGTTTAGTTTGAGAAAGGAAAAAAAAACGGATTTTCTACGGGGGTGACAAGGGCAGAGGAAGATTGAAAGGTGCTGCTTTTGACTAAATGAATGAAAGATCTTTCAATGGGAGAACTTAGAGGTGCATATGATGTGGAGGAGACAAATGGGAGAGGTTAAATAGAGATACTTAAGGTGACAAATATGGAAAACTGAGAAGAAAACATGAGGATTTTTCGGGATATGGATGAAAAAAATGGACGGTTTGCAGATAGCCAATGATGCATTCTCTATAATGCTTTAGTTAGATTTTCTAAACTTAGAGGCTCTAAAAAAAAGATATACCCAAATAAACCCATCACATTAGAGGTTTAAGAGTAAAAGAAGGGTCAAACAATTATCATTAATTTTTAGAACCCGAGATCCGAACACAAAAAGGGTCATAAAGAAAACAGAGGAACCTTATCAGTTTTCTAGAACTATAGGCTCATACATAAGTTATATACTCCTTAAACCTAGATGATCATATATATAGACAAAGTACAGCTCTTGAGTATGTAGGAATATATATGAACCTGGAATATGAATCTGTTAGAGAAAGAATGTAACAGCTTCTCAACTTGCAAGGCTTTTCTTGTTCCACGAATTGTCGCCATAAGGCCTGAGATTGAGAATGATGCATATAAGAAAATGAACAATAAAAAAGGGTTTCTGCGAATGTAGCCTTTTTACCTTGGATTTTTCAAATGGAGCAACATGAAGATGATGGATATGACTATGGAAGAGGAACCAACGACAAGGTAGGTGATGCCCAGGAAATCATTTCTTCCTCCTAACCAATTCGATGTGGAAAGAATAAGCTTCTTCTGCCCACTAAAGCTATAAGTGTTGTAATTGTTCATCAAATTTACTTCAACAACACTTCCTGGCTCCAAGTCCTCTTCGATTCTTCCATATAATTTCCGGAAGCTTAGCAAAGCAGCTGCTCGCATCCACACTATAAAGTCCTCTTGGTCACTTAGCTACAAAGTAAACAGCATTGCCTAAGCTAAAATATATGATTAAAAATTTTATGGTAATGGAATTAAATGGTTAAGAATGCATACTGGAATTTTTGGATCCAACTTTGCTCCACCAATCAAAGTTCCATTCTGGAAATTGACAGGATACACATTCTTTCCAAACTTTTGCTCGCGGTCACTCTTCCACGCAATGTTATTCCGGCTCACCTTCAGTTTCGTTCTTTCACGAGAAAACGTAAATGTATCATTGAACATACTCCAAGCGATTAACCCACAAGGAACAATTGGGAGACCATTAGATGACTCCTCGGGTTCACAAGAACTTGTGTGGCTATACTCCAGTCCATGTAAAAGTTGCTGATCACTTCTACTCTTTACATACCTGCAAAAGAATCATCAGCTACCAAATGAGGACTTTCTCATCACCAGATTTGAAAAGTAAATCAATAAGGGATCTAGCTATGTTACCGGCGGTGGTTTTGATAGTAGTTATCGAGCTGGTAGTAGATAAAAATGGGAGCTTTCATATACTTTTGTACCTACAAATGTGCATACAAAACTGAAAATATTGAAAGTAGAAAAAACCACCACTACATTTTCATTGATTGGGAATCAATGCGAGCGTAAAGGAATTACCTTCAAGTAACGAGTACAATTCTTTGGGATAGATGAATCCGTTATGTACGACAATTTGTTGGTTCTATATTCTTCAGGAATGCACTCAACATCATACCGGTCTATAATTTCAATAGCCTGCCATTAAAGGACTTAAATAATTTACTCCAGACACTTAAAGCTCAAATCCAAGAGTTAACTTTTCCTACTTACATCACGAGAAGCACGAAGAGTAATGAGGCCAATGGGAATGAAAACAAAACCCATTAACATAAACACTGTTATAACCTGCAAAAACATTGATTCTTCTTCTTAGACAATCAGAAAAAAAAAAGCTAAGCTTTTTAAGGTCACAAAGATTAATGTTACTAACCGATATTGGTGTTAAGACTGGCTTACAAGCTGGGAGCTTCTGCTGCTTAAACTGATACAGAGCTGCCAAATCAAAAACATACACAAATGATTCGTTGTGCAGTTCAGAAAGTTACATGAATCTATAAACAAATGCAACAATCACAGCAAATTTTGACCTAAATTAAACCCGTAAGAACTTAAACGAAGGCTTTTGATTGAAATATTTCAAATTCGTAGAGAAGAAAGTGTTACGATTACCTTTGGATCGTCTCGATCGTAAGAAGGATGATTGATCAGGAGCACGATTCATCGATCCTTCCACTTCCATCATTGTCCCCTCTCGATTACTTCACCAATACATCGGGAAGAAGAAAGGGTTTCCTCTCTTCGCGGCGGGGATAAAAACTCCGGCGTCTCTCACCGGTGGATCGATCTAGAATCGCGTGGTCTCAGGTAGATTCACCTGATCTAAGATTTTGTTTTTGAATTTGTAAATTAAATATTTTTTTTTCTCTTCAATAAAATTAAAAGTATATGAACATGAAAAAGTTGAAAAAACAAAGTTTGAACTTAAAAAAAAAAAAAAAGGAGAAATGTACCAAAACTTTTAGAAACTGAGGACTGAATTTGAAAAGTTTACCTTATTACTTACAGGGTATAAATGTAATAAACTATAATATAGGGTTAATCACAAATGAGGAAAATAAGTAATTACCGAAAGTGTAGGGACTATTTATGATAAAAAAAATATTGGAAACTCTTTAAAGTAGTGATAAGATAACTTTAGTTTAGGGACGGTTATTGAAGTTTGAAGCCTCTTAATTCCTTAGAACACAAAAAAAAAATGTGGTAACTAGAGTTTACATGAATAAAAGACATTAAGAGGTTTAGGGTTTTTGTTGCGTCTCAAGCAATGTGTTGAGCCAAAGCAAGAATCTTGAGATGTTTCTTCTTGCGAAGCTCATGCGGAACAGGACCAAAAACTCTAGTACCAATCGGCTGGCGATCAGTTTTGGTATTCTTGTCTTTACTGTCAACAAGCACAACCGCGTTATCATCAAACCTAACTTCGCTTCCATCAACACGACCTCTCTGCATCGCGGCACGAACAACCACACCATACACAACCGCTCCTTTCTTCACTTTACCATTTGGCATCGCTTCTTTCACTGAAGCAACTATAGTATCACCAAGTCTAGCTCCTTTTTTCCCCTTTAGAGCTTGGATACACATCACTTTCTTCGCACCCGAATTGTCCACAACTTTGAGAACTGTCCCCATTTGAATGAATGTCCTTCGCTGTTGCTGCTGCTTCAGCCAACATCAACAAAAAGAAAGAAGCTCAAGACACTAAAATATCTGTAATATCCATTCTGATTCAATCCAAAAATTTCAGATAACTATAACTCTACAAAGCAAAGCAAATACGAAAAACCAATATCCGTTCAAATCGACAATTCGAAGGCGCAGATATTTGTGTAAACTGTATAATAATTGGTTTCTGACCTGAGAGAGGATACTTTCATTCATCATTCCATTAGAAGAATTCATCAAACCACCATTGTTAAGACCTCCAAGCAATGAACGTCCTCCTGCTCACGATTTGTGTATGAATCAAATCAGATACTAAAACCAAAAAACAACAAAGACAACAGATTTTGAACATTTGGCTTTGCCTATGCAAATTCAATTACCAAATTCAACATTTTTGAAGATGATAATATGTTGAAAATGGTAATCTTTAACTTCACAAAGATCTGATTTTTAAACAAACCCATCACAGTCTATAAGATTTAATCTTCAAATCAAAACACAGAATCTTTGGTTTAAAGAAAAAAGATGAGATCGGAAGGAAGAGGAATTAGTTCGTCTCTTACCTCGGGTTAATCTTGAAGCAAAAGCAGCCGCCATTTCTGCAATTGAAAATTTCAATCTTAATGCAAATAATTACATTAAAAATAACAATAAGGGTTTATATTAAGAGAGATCGTTTGGATAAAAATTCAAACTTACAGATTCGTTGTTACTGGAAAAAAAAATACAGATTCGTAGCGGCAGTGATGACTGACGGGAGAGACAGAGATCGAGGCGGAGGAGGACGGTAACAAGGAAAGGTTTAAGCGTGGCAACAAAAGTAAATTACAAGGTTTGGGGTATAATAGTAATAGTCACTTTAATTTCTACTTTTGGCCCAAACAAATGAATGTTGGGCTTCGAGTCGTTGTATGGTATTTTAAGAAATAAAACAGAAAAAAAAAGAGAGAGGATAACACTTAAAAATCCAATGAAGCAAATTTGGTAGACAAGGTTTCAAACCTGATTTTTAAACGATGATTGTCTAAAACAAAAATAATAGTGACAACATAAAAAGACCAAAAACGAATACAAATTTTTTTTAAAAAAAAATAACCGTTTAATATAGCATACATTTGTTTACACAACTTATATTTATTTTGATTAAAATAAAAGGCGATTTTAAATTTATGTTAATAGTAAAATGGTACTCCATATGCAAATTTTAGAGATGTTCATGGATTACTAGAACTATCCAATCTAAGACGGAAAAAATACTTCTAAACACTTTAATACAGATAAATATGAAACGAAAAAGGAGACAAATTCATTCGAATGCTAATTATTTAATTATCGAGAGAATGCTAAATGGTCTCATGGGTGGAGAACGTGGAATTGGTGTGCTTAGAACATGATTATAGGTAGTCTCTTAGAAATACTTCTTAGCAATATTTAAGTAATTTATTTGTAAAAGTTATTGTTAAGAGATACTACCTCTGTTCCTAAAAGATTGATTTTCTAGAGATTTCACATATTTTAAGAAACAATTATTGTTTAATTATTTATTTTTATTAAACATTTTTAATAACCTATGAACCAATAGTAATCTGAAACAGTTAATCAGTACGTCTTGAAATCTACGAAAATAAACTAAAAATAAAGAAAAAATATAAAAAATCAATATTTGTGGAACAAACCAAAACGCTAGAACATCAAACTCTTAGGAACAGAGGGAGTAGTATTTTTGAGTTAAGATTTTTGTGTGATTAATGGTAGGCTCTTAACATGTGGTTCTTAGAAGAAAAAAATATTAATATAAAAATAAAATTTATAATTATTGAAAATTTAATAATTATTGCAAATTAAAAAAATTAAAACATACATGAGATACAATTTATAACATAAATAACTTAATTTCTGGAATATTTTGTCTATATATGCTCGACCAAATCATTCTTCAATTGTTGATGCATTCTTCATTCTGTTAGTTTGCTAAGGATATTTTCAGATATTTCGGTTATTTTTGAGTATTTTTGGATATTTTTCGGTTATGTTCGACTATTTTTACTATTTTTATATATTTTCAAGTATTTTTGTTTATTTAGTCTATAAATAACTACTTATTTTGAAACGTATTTCGGGTATTTTCGGTTATTCGAAATATATCGGTTCGGTACCGATTTTGGTACGGTTTATTTTTCTATGTCTAATTTAACTCATCAACCACTCATACACGGACATGTGGCCGTCTCTTAGCTTCAGTTTTGGCTCTTAGCTAAGAGACATCTCTTAACTATAAGTTTGATTTTTGAATTAAATTAAATCAATTAAAGCCTAAGATCTACCTAAGAATTTGCTAAAAGCTTACCTTTAAAGATGCTCTTATGTTACTCGGGTAAGCTATGAGATACTTTTATTGTTTTTTTTATTACTATTTGTGTTAATAATATAAAATAATATAAATTGTTTATTTTTGATACAGTGAGGTCAGCTTGGTACCAAATTGCTTTCGGGAGGTAAGTCAGTGGTGAGGTTGGGAGGGAGTCAGGGAGATCCATGATAAAGTCGGTAAGTAGCTGGACTTTCTTAAACACTTACAAACCTACGCTGCATGGAATCGGCTCTTGCGAGGCGTTTTTCGCTCTGGAAGCGGAAACAGAAGCAAAAGCAGAAGCGGAAGCGCTCGGAATCGCTTGGAATCGCCTCGGAATCGCGATTCACAAATTGAAGTGTTTGGGAACGTGGAGGAAGCGCATGATTCAGCTGTGGAAGCGTCAATGGTAGAGAACAGAAACGTCTCTGCTGTAAATCGAAGATAAAGAAGATGAGACAAGTCAAAACTATTTATTTGGGGCTTATTTGTAGAAAACATAAAAAAAAGTTATGTTTGGGCCCAATTAGCCCACTTTGTAAACAAAGTAAAAGTTAAAACCTAATTACTAATAAAAGAAACAGAGAGGAAGCAAAATTGAGAAGTGGTGAGAAGTGGTGAGGTCAATCGTCATGCGTAAGCTATTGGATTTTTCTCCCAAATCAACCTAAGCTGCATGGAATCATCATGTGTTATTTTTATTTTTAAATATGTTGCGATATTTAAATTATGTATTGCATTAGTTGTTTAAAACATCTTATTTTAATATAATTTTATGTTTATTGTTATATATATATATATATATATATATATATATATATATATACACGCTTCCTGGCTTCCAATATTATATTGTATATACGCTTGCTTCCTGGCTTCCAATATTATATTGTATATACGTTTCCTGGCTTCCAATACGTATCCGCTTTCTATTTTTTTAAAAAAAACTCGTTTCTCCGCTTCCAAACGCTTCCGCTTCCGCGTACCCGCTTCCGATTCCATGCAGCTTAGTTACAAACAAGGTCTGACGAATTTTTTTTAATATCTTACTTAATTGTGTTCTAAATTTGTATTTTAACTTTGATTAAGTCTCTAGATTTAATATATAGACTGTTTATAAAACTTAACAAATTGCCCCAAATAAGTTTTTAAATACTTTATTTTTAGAAATAGAACTTAAGCGAATGTTTACAAATATACATTATTGAAAATTAGACACGACTTTGCATCTCAATATAACTCATAGTGATCACCATCAAATTTGTAAAATGTTGATAAATAATACTCCCTCTGTTCATAATTAATCTATTTTCTAGACTTTTCACACATATTAAGAAAACATATTAAAAGTTGATTATAAATGCATCTATTTTTGAGATTTTCGATTTTCTATAACTCTAAACCAATAGTAAATAACTAGTTTTGTAGAAATTTTTGTAATTCATAATTAATACCAAATTAAAAATGCAAAAATACATATTTTTGAAACAATTGTTTTTCCTAAGAAATAGATTAATAAGGAACAAATGGGGTATCTCAAATAAATGCACTCGCAAGGCCTCCCAATCAACATTAGTTTTTTTGAAAATATGATGTATGTGACTTTAAAAACGTTTACAAGAAAATATGATGTATGTGACAAGGCGTCCTAATCAAACGCGGATTATAAGAGTTATATTGTCTATTGTTTTTTATTTTGTATAATCAATCTACATTTTTTTGGAGATGTCGGGTAAAATTGAAAAAATAATAATTTGGAAGATTTGTTTTGTTGAAAATCCATTATTTAATGGATGTGTTTACTAACCTTCATGTACCTCAATTAAAGTATTAACTGGAAATAAACACAAGTATAGATAATAATAGTTATATAAAAATGGGATCATTGGTGATTAACAAAACAGATTGAGGAATATATGTAATAAGCAAAACTATAGGAGCTATTTATAATAGAAAATAATAATTAAATCATCTAAAATAAATGAAAATACATATAACGGGTTACTATCTGTTATAAAAATAATATTCATAACCGGCCATTGGTGATGACTGATAACTTATATCTCCCTTGTTATAGAATGGTACTAGTCTACTAGTATTGACTAATGCAATTTTGGTTCTCAAACTATAAACCAAAGGAATCAAGAAACTTAAGAAGAGAAGATTAGTACTTTTGTCTAAGAAGTTGTTGGAGTTGTTAAGTTACTCTTGGGGTTTGCTTGTAAAAACTAGTCTATGTCTTAGTGTTAAGTATAAGACTAGTAGGATTTGTTAAGTAGTTGTCAGGGAATAGTTACTCTACCTTCATTATAAGTTGTTTGTGTTATGTTGTGTGGTTGTGTACGAAAAAAATGAAGAAGTTGATGTTGTGTTAACTCTCTCTAAGATTGACAACATTTTCTCAATTTCAAACACTAGAAAACCAAGAACAGAGGAATGCTCAAAGAAACAACTATAGAGTAGAGAGTAGTAGAGCAATAATTAGTGGAATTTACAAGTTTTAGACTCTTGATTCTTTAGAACACCAAAAAGTTGTGCGTTTAACCATATTCAGATTATGGATGAAGAAAACAGAAGTGGTTAAATGTTTCAACCGATGTCAATAGTATAATAGTACTACGGATGCAAATTTCAGAGATGTTCAAGAATGACTCGAACCTATCCAATCTTAGACGGGAAAATACATCCAAACACTTTAACACAGATAAATATGAAAAGAAAAAGAGACAACCTAATAAATTATTTATTTGACTAAAACCAGAACTGCTCAATTAAACTGAACCAACCTGATACATGCTATAATCATATTTTTAGTTTGGTAACTTTTTTTTTTTTTTTTCATCTGAATAATTCATGAAATATAACCAAGGGAGAAATACAAAGTTGGGATACATGGTGAAATACTAACGCCGGCGGGACTCTAACCCCCGGAAAACTAAGCCGGCGGGTACATGGAAACCCCCAGAGACAAAGGCCAAAAAAGGCAGACATAAAAGAAGGAAAACCTTAAAGTATAGGGAAAGGCTAATATCTAAGACTCAAGCAACACAACTGCAAACTCTTCACGAAAAGAATCCGACGAACATTTCCATAGAACATTTTGGACGCTGGAAAGTGGTTACAAACAGGAGCAACAAGAGAACCCATCATTAGATTGCCTTTACATGAAAGGCCCGAGAAGGATACAAAACCAAGCTCACACAACCACACCCCGAGCAGAAACGAGCACAGATAAAAGAGGATCAGAGCACAGATCCTAACCATCACTACTACACCAGAAACCAGAGAAGACAAGCAGGAGAAGGGACAAGGAGAAGCCTTGAGATCCGAAGGGGAAAACGCCAAAGAGGGCCAACAAACCTTACACGCGGACATTCGTAGACCCAGCCAAAACTATCTACAGCCTAAGAACTGGTTACGCCACGCAAGAGAAGGAATAGAGACCGAGCCTACCACATCGTCTTGAACTCAAACCTTAAATCCAAACAAGGAAAAGGAAGAGAGCTAGTAGATGCCTTTGCAGGAGACTACCATCCAAATGAAGAACCCACAAAACGAAACCTTCACAAACTCATAACCCCAATAACCGGGCAGAAAGTAACAGAAGGCAGAACTAGGAGTCAATAATGCCATCCCTAAACTTGAAACTAAGGCTTCTACCCTCTAACCAACCATACTACTAAGAGACCGCATCCGCAACACACAAAATCAACACTCGCAGCAAACCAATTGATTCCCCAAACGAAGGCCCAAAAATCTGCAATCAAGACTTAAAAGCTTACCCTAGTAACTCGGAGAAGGAGGAGAACGACCATGATGGAGAAACGCAGAGAGACCACTGCCACATATCCGTATAAACCAGAATCAGGAATCAGAAGAAGACTCGAGCCTTTGCAAAGGCTTACAAAGACAGAGCCATCCATCAATGGACAGATCTCGGAACCCAAAACAAAACACCTCTCTCAGGAGGAGCTGACCGCCGGCCAAACCCGAAGCCTCGCCGCGAAGAGACACCATCTGAGACTACCGAAACCCTTTTCTACCGAAACACCAAGGCAAGAAGAAGCGAAACACAAATAAAAGAAAGACAAAGAAGCTACTGGGCCCTCTCACGGCTGCGGCGAGGAGCGCCGATCACCGGAGAGGGCAAGCGAAAATCTGAAAAGTGGATGAACGGCGGCTAGGTTTTGGGAGAGTTTGTCGGGGACGAATGAGTTGGTGTGATTTTTAGTTTGGTAACTATTTCTAGAAAAACTTGAAAATATCCAAAAACTCAACAATCCAAACTGAAAAATGGATTAAACACCCTTATAGCGGAAAATGCCTAAAGTTGGAGACTTTTCAAGTTTTAAGCCTCTTACTACTTTAGAACACCAACTAAGTTGAAAATAATTAATAGAAACCAGATTCTGGTCGGGAAAGAATATAAGTAAGGTTTAGGGTTTTGTGTCTCATGCAATATGTCAGTATTTCTAAGTCTTTTATCTGACTACCAATAATAACAACCGCATTATCATCGAACTTGACTTCGCTTCCATCAACACAACCTTTCTACATCGCAGCTTGAACAACCACACCATAAACTACTTTCTCCAAAGGCAATCTGATGTTTAATTATGATGAAAAATAACTTTTCCACCAAGTTGCAATTGATCTAGTTCTTTACATTGGTACTTTGAGAATGAGCGATTATAATTGGTATTGGTAATCCCATGAGTAAACATTTTCTTTTCAACTCTTTCTTCCAATCACAGACTGATATATGTTCTGCCATTCTGCATTCTACATTATATATAACCAAAATATCAAAAATTTATGTCATTCAACAATCACATTAAAGTTTTTTTAGCATAATAAATCTGTAATTTTGTAGATTTTTTTTGTTGTCTCACAACTTTACAAAATTACTAATCAGATCCAGTAGGGAAATCCAAAAAAGGAGTGATTATAGCAATTCCAAATCTACAATCTTAAATAACTTGTATAATGACAGGGGAATAAGCAATAATACCTACAATATTCACATAAATAGAGAAGAGCAAGCAAAGGAGAAGAAGAACAGAAAAAAGATAAGAAAAACTCTTACATGATATCTGTAATTTGTTGATATATTATATATATGATTGCGAGATCCTGCAAAGGCATATGCTTCAATGAAAAAACTAGCTAGCAGATGCAGTAGTAGGCAGCAAAACTTGTTTCTGGATTCATCAAAACTTCGATTTTATTTCATTCTCTGCTTCCCCCATTCTACGCTTTTAATTGCAATATCCTGAATTCGCCACCGGGTTGCCAGTTCTCTGACAAACAAGATTCCTAACAATGAGCTCTCTAAAATATTAAAAGAAAGTTGTGAAGATAACACAAATTCCCAACTTTTAAACTCAATCCTTGATAAAAAATGCCAACTAATCATCAAATGCGATTCATCAAGGGATAGTGTTACTTATAAGATATTCATAACACAATTTCAAGTTCCTACTGTCAATGATAAACTATAAGCTTTACCTATGCAAAAGGGTTTAATCTTAATGGTTTCACGACAAGCAATATTGATACTCGCGCAAATGATTCTCAAATCACTTCATAAACAGATGATACAGAACATGAGCATTTATCTTACCTCAGATTTTAACTTAAAGTTTGCAAGCTAGAACGAGTTCATTTCAAGACAGTAAGTCCTTCTCTTAACCAGCATCTTAGCAGCTGTCTCATAAGGCTCCTCGAAAGCCGAAGATACCCAAGAGATATCAGACACTTCCCTTTTCGACTCACTTGGTCTTATCGCTACTAAAGTCGCACCTTTTAACACAGTTCCATCAGGTAATTCCAAAGTTGGAGCATACCAAAGTCTCATATTCAAGGCAGGCACAAGTGTCCTCTTCGAAGCCGATGAAGCCGCTAATGGTTTCACCCTTAGCTCTTCAAGCTGCTCTCTGTTCATACAAAGCACACCTTGCCCATCAGAATCAGTGAGAACTAAACTATCAAGTGTCTTATGCTCCGCGATTATCGGCTGTAACAAGTAATGTCGTGCTGATGCAGCAATCAAAGAGCTAATTGTCCATACAACACGCAATTTCAAACCTCCGTTTGTGTAAAACGATTCCGGTATACTCCCATTATCATCAGAGCCGGAACCGGAAGCTTCAACGACTGTACTAGTGTCCACGGCTTGAGAAATTCTCATCGGATTCGGTTGAATCACCGAAGAAGCACCGAGAATCACACAATTATCAAGAGTTGAACCAAATTCAGCTCTCCATTTCAACAAAACTCCATCATCAATCCCTAATTCACCACTAGGAAGCTCAATACGCAAGTAACGAATCTCATCAAAGTTTTTCAAAACCTGTGTAGGAGAATGATGAGTAACACCGCCTTGTTCGATCTCTCCACCTTCATCATCTCCACTAATAGACAACGAAGAAGAAGATCCAGAACCACCACATGATGATCTCTTCGTACCAAGGAATTGACCTAAAGCTTGTAACGGCTTAACAATGCCACCAACAACAAGACGAAATATAGCCGAGAACGATCCAGCGGAAGAACCGGAGCGAGATTTGATAGATGATAAAGACGACGAATCGTCGTCGGAGATTACGCAATCGACACGAACAACGACGTTATCGACTTGAGGAACAAGAGAATGAAATCTCCGGGAAACGACACAGCATCTTCCGAGAGCTTTAACGTCACCGATTTTGTTGAAAACGAGGAGGAGGATTGAGTCAGGAAGACGATCGAAATGGTCGATTTCTAGGGTTTGTGGTGGTTCGGGATGGATTCGTGACGGTGGATCTGAACGAGGGATAATTACAGCCATGGATCTTTGAGATTTTTGGGGGGAATTTTTTCTAGGGTTTTTTTAGATGATTCAGAATCAGAATCAGAGCTTTTGGAGAAGATAACGCATGAAGATGCTTCTAGAGAGAAGACGGAAAAAAAAATCAAATGGTGGGAGGAGATAGATCCACGAGGTTTTGTCTCTACTTTAAAGCGCGTGTGTAATGCGTGAAGTGTTTTTTTTTTTGTAATCAACAATTGATGTGACAATTATATATTGTATTTGATTTTTTTTTTTTATATATTGCCAAAAGAATATTTATTGGCATTTTGATAAAAATAGACAACCAAATTTATAGGTAGCTGTACCACATGAGAATGAATTGGATTTGTCTAATGCTAGACTCATTCATAGTCATAGGAAGAAAAATATGTTTACAAATAGTAAAGTAGGTGATATTTTGTTATACATAAAACGGATTATATTTTTTTTTTTTTTTGTTCAAATGGATTATAAAATTTTTAAGGAGTGATATTTCAATGTCATTGTTTACAAAAGGAATAATAAAAAGTTGACACAAGATTTGCATATCACTTTGTATCTTTTCTTTAGCTAAGATTAATCGACACATGTATTACATTCTCGCCTTCTCGGTGCTTAAATTTGTGTATACGCGAAAAAAAAAAAAAATTTAGTGATCCATTACAAATCTATGAAGTTAATCTTTTTAAATACATGAATTTTTTGTTATACGATTTTATTTTATTTGGTAAACATATATACTTACATTTCTTAAGAAAAAAAGATTGTTACTTATAAAGGTTTTAGATATGTAAATTTAGAATTATTTATTGGTAACTACATGTCTATATATATTCCTTATGCAACCGGCCGGTTACTATCAAAGTTAGTTTATTCCACCATTGCATATCCTACCGAACTTCATTATCCTTAATCATAAAATACTAGAAGATATGCATAATGCACTAGTGACTAGACAAGTCATGTGTTGGTTTTGCGATAAACAAGCACGTTGTGTCATGTGTGTTTTACCATTTCGAACGCCTCGGCGTTTTCCTTAATTATATTTGACTTAGTTGAAAAAATGATTAGTAGGATACAATAGAGACACATGTGACTATTAAATGCAGATTCATAAACGAAACATCTAAGTTTCTTCCCTCTAAAGTCTAAACTGTACCTCATCTTTTGTGATTTTTCTATTTCTATTTTAATTTTGTAAACTCAATTATGAAGTTTTATTTTTTGAATTAATTTTGAGAGAAAATAAGGGTAAAGTTGAGTTTTGATTTTTAAAAAACCTATTTGACCAATCTACACAAGAAAAGGGATATATGGACAAATTTTTAAGTAGATATCCTTTATATCCAATTTTCCCTAGTTTTATTGCATTTGACAAAAAGAAAAGAGTAATATTCTTGCACTAGATTTAGATAGAAAATCGAGATCACGAGGCCATTAGCCCATTAGTGTGGTATATAATTTACATGTTTTAGATAGTTATTTAAGGGAAGAACGGCTTTTTCATACTTCAACTCAATAACTATGTTCAATTCATACTTTAACTATACCTTTATGCAAATACATACTTAAACTAAGCAAAAATTTAAATTCACTATCTAATCTTATTGTTTCATGCAAAAACATGCATATCCCGAGATGTGTTTAACATCATATCTATTGTAACTTACGTAGATGCTAATGTAATTAACTATACCGTTTAAATCTTAATCAAAACACCTAAAATTTGAGACAAAACGACGTTACCAACATTCATTTATTTATCTTTTTTCTTCTTCTCGACTAGAATCACAATCTGCAGATTTTCGGAAATCTCGAGTTCTACAATTGCATCATCAACTTGTTCATGTAGAATTTTAGTAGTTCAAGTTCTGAATCTATTAAAACAATCTACAATTTAGAAACTTTAAGAAAATTAAAATGATAATCTGAACATGCTTATGATGCCATTAAAGAATCCTAGACTTTGGAAAATCTCCAAATAGTGATTCCGGTTGAGAGGAAAACGAAGGAGAAGTAAATAAATAGTGGCACAGAGCAAAACGACATTGTTTTGTAAAGTAAGAGCAAAATAACATCGTTTTGTCTCAAATTTTAGGTGTTATGATTAAAGTTTAAACAATATCATTAATGATATGGTATTCATGTAAGTTATAGTAGACGGAATGTTAACGATATTTCGGGATATGCATTTTTTTGCACGAAACGGTAAGATTAGGTAGTAAATTTGAATTTTTTCTTAGTTGGAGTATGTATCTGTATAGAGGTATAATTAATATATGAATTGAAGATACTTATTGAGTTGAAGTATGAAAAAAAAAAACCGTTTTTCCGTTATTTAAGTATGTATTTGTTATTTTTTAATCAGGTTATTAAAATGTAATTTAAATATTGGAGAGCCAACCAATCATATGGGGTTTCACGCCTCAACATGTTTGGGTTGAGCGATAATAGAAGACAAGCATATGTTTATTCATGATTTCATGTTCCATATCAATATCTATCTACACATGCCAACACGTGTACGTATGCATCAGTACATCCATCATTCCATACATATTATTATGTAACATTTATTTGTTTGTTGAAATATTATGTAACACCTATGAAAACAGGCAGCATTCTATTTTATACAATTTTCTTGTGGAAATATACGAATTACGTCACTATTTCAAAATAACTGAAATTCTATTAATAATGCAAATACTCCCTCCGTTTTGTTTTAGTTATCGTTTAAGGTTTTTTCACACAAATTAAAAAAATTCATTGGCCAAAACATTAAAACAGTATGGATAAAACTGAAATTTTCACCAAACATTTGCATTGAAAACCTAAAACGACAACTATTATGAAACAAAATTTAAATTCTAAAACGACAACTAAACTGAAACGAAGGGAGTATGATTCTAATTTGTTTATTAAAAAAATCCATATTCTCACAATACATTAAACAATGCTTTTCATATTAGCATAAAGAGTTTGTTCAAAAAGAAATTACAACATAATTAAAGGGCCTTCGGATTAAACTTCTTTTGATTTCGTACCAGAAATATAGCCGCTAAACCGATAATTGTGCAAACAGACAAATCGGGTTTATTTAATGCCAAACCAGAAATAAACTAGTTATTTCTACCAAGCTCGGTACAATCCGGTTCGGCCTTATACGTATTATACATTTTTTATACCAAACTGGTGATGTCTCGTGAAATCACAAGATACACATTACACATTGTCTTAACAATACAAAGAATCTAATTAAACCAGAACCTAGTCAAGTTTCAAACCGGTTCAAGCATAGAGGTTTCTTCCACAGCGATCACACTCGGTTATATGAGAAACCGGGGTTTTACCGGAATTGATTTCCCGTAGATTTGGAAGATCGAGCTCGAGAACATCGTGAAGAGCCTTAGAGCCTTCTCGGAGTTCATCAGAGCTGGCAAAAGAAAGAAAACCGATAGCTAATTCAATAAATAAACCAATGATAAGTTGCTAAATAAACCAGACAGGTTCAGCTGTTTTTAGTTTACCTTATGGAGAGTGGTGGAGTTAACCGGACAATAGTATTATGAGTCGGTTTAGCCAAGACTCCTCTCTCCTTCAAGCTCAAGCAAATATCATATGCTGAAACTGGGGACAAGCTTTCACTATTGAACTCAATCGCATTGAACAGTCCTCTTCCTCGTACTTCCTTTATATATTTCGGAAACTGTTTCTTGATTTCATTCAATTGAATCCTCAGCTCCTCTCCAAGACTTGCTGATCTACAGATCCAAAAAAAGAACTGAAAAATTTAATATAAAGAATCCGAATTGATTTAGAGAGCAAAATGGTACCTTTCGACGAGTTTTTCTTCCTCAATAACGTCTAAAGAAGCCATAGCTACAGCACTAGCTAAAGGATTCCCACCAAATGTGCTGATTTTGACAAACATAATACAAAAAAAGGATGAAGCGACACAATCATACCACGAAGTGTTCGTATATGCTAATTATTGTTAATAAGAGAGCAAAGTAACATTAGTGCGAACCTTCCGTGTTGACCGGGTTTGATATGAAGCATCACATCTTTATCAGCAAGCACTGCACTTACTGGAATTACTCCTCCACCTAATGCTTTCCCAAGTATCTTTCAAAAAACAGATTTAAGAGTTGACATATTACTCTATGTAATGGCTTTGCTCGGAGAAGACATCGTAAAGCAAATGAAATAAAGAGCTTTTAAAATGTAAAAGAACATACCACCATATCGGGACGAATTTCTTCCCAGTCACAAGCTAACATCTTTCCAGATCTTGCTAGACCGCTTTGTACTTCATCTGCTATCATCAAAACATTGTGTTTTGTGCAGAGTTCTCTAACAGCTTTCAAATAACCGTCCGGAGGAATAATAACCTAAAACCAAAGCCATTTTTAACATTTTAGAAACAAAAACAATACGACTCATTCTCTAATGCAGTAAGTTGGCCTCAAGTGCACAGAAAATAAACCAAAATAATTATTATAACTTACTCCAGCTTCGCCTTGAATAGGTTCGAAAAGAAATCCCGCTATTTTCTCTCCTTTTTCTAGAGTTATCATAACAACAAACTCATTAGCTCAAGGTCAAGCTCAATCTCGGAAATGAGATTCTCAGTTTAAATTTGAAACAGGAAACAATTTCATACCTTTAAAGATTTTCTCAAGTGAATCAGCATCACCAAAATCAACTTTAAGATTCCCAGGTAACAATGGCCCGAATCCACGCGTAGCATCATTGTCACAACTCATGGAAATAATTGCTAATGTACGACCATGGAAGCAGCCACAACAAGAGACAATTATAACCTGTAACAAAATTTCGTTAGCTGCTTGTAATGAGAGCTTTCTATAAAACAAAACCGAAAGAAACTGTACCTCATCTTTGGGAATATTTTTCTTTTCATGACCCCATTTTCTTGCTAATTTCAAAGCGGTCTCGACACCTTCAGCCCCCGTGTTCATAGGAAGCACCATATCATAACCGAACATACTTGTGAGACGCTCAGCAAATACCGGGAATTTATCGTTGAAAAAGGCTCGTGAACTTAAAGTGAGTTTCTCCACTTGTTCCTGCAATGCCTTCACGATCTTAGGATGACAATGTCCCTGCAAGGATACACAAAATTAAACATTAAAACACAAACAATGAATCTAACAAGTATGAAACTTTCCACATATTGTAATTGAAACCTGATTAACTGCGGAGTAAGCTGCAAGAAAATCAATGTATCTCTTTCCTTCAGGGTCCCATATAGTTGAGCCATTTGCGCGAGAAAACACAACCGGAACAGGATGGTAGCTAAGGTTCATAATTTTCAGATTCCAAAAGAAAGAACCAAACATAAACATCTGAGGTTCAAACTGGATACAAATCGAATTGAATATGAACAGATACAACACAATCAAGATATATATAAGCTTCTAACATGAAATCAAGAACCGAGAGATTCACAGATAAGTCCGATCGAAACAAACAAAACCCAAATATCAGAACTTTTGATGAAACGAGCAAAACCCAGAACCCCAAAAGAGAAAAGTTAAGTGATTCCATCGAAGATATATTCAAATCGGAGGAGATTTCACTTGTGGGAAAGAAAGAGACTTTACTTGTGGGCACTGAATTCAGATTCCAATTCCATCAATCGTTGAGAAGAAGACGGAGGAGATTTAGAATTCGATTGTGGTAGACCGCCATAGCTCCGCCGTACTCCGGCGGTAGTAATTCTTTTAGATATACAGTAAAGCAACCGTCTCGTGGTGGCTGCCATTAGAGAGTCTTTCAGAGATTGAAGCAAACGTTTTTTTTTGTGCGTCTCTCTGTTTATGTAAACTCTGTTCGTTCTGTTTTTCTGACTTTCTCGGGATGCTAATTTTATCCGAATTCTAAAAATGGTAAATTTTATTTCGGTTTAATTTTTTTTTGGATTTAATTTCATCCATAAGCTTCGATTTCAGTATACTAATCTGGTTTTTTTTTTTTTTGTTAAACAATATTGTAATTTGATTTGTTTCGTTTTTTTTGTATACTTTTAAACTCAATTTTAATATTGGAAATTCATTTCTCAAATTTTAGTTTTAGAATTGTGGATATTCGAATATTTCCAAAAAAAAGTATATGAATATAAGTAAACCCCTTAATTTTGGATTTTTGATGATAGATAACAAATAATCAAATGTTGTGTTTTTTCTCGCACCAAAAAAATAAATGTTGTCTTTTTCTCTTAATGTTTTTTTTTTTGATAAAAATCTTTTTCTCCTATATTAATCCAACGCTTGCCACAATCTCTCTTTTTTTTTTTTTTTTTTGATGCTATAATTTAAATAGTTGTGCGATATGGAATAGAGAAATTAGAAGAAATGAACTTTGTTTGTTAATAACACTTAACCGAAATTCACATATATTAGTTAGAAGATTGAGAAAGCACTTTAAAATTGCGTAACGTAAACTACTACTACATGACCATTGAATACAAAACCTTCCAAATGGATCAAAACTTATCCTCAGTGGTCTTTTGATCAAAACAATGCTCAAGACTATACAATTGCCTACAACTAAACTATATCACATTCATGAAACCCCGAAAAAGGAACTGCGTAAATACCTGTCCGCAGACGAAGAATGAATAAACTGTCTACACACCCGCTTAAAAATCCCGGGGAATGTTAGGCTCAGGATTGCCGGAAAAATATTCAAACCGCAACAAAGCTAAACCAGAAACAGCAAAAAAATTGTTGTGGGTTTATAAACAACTTAATATTTTGGAACCCCAGGTTTGTCAACTAAATTCCACCCTGAAGTGATAAGAGCAAAAGGGTTTAATGCTACAAACCTACAGTGACAACCTAGCCAGCGCGGAGTGTCAGCAAAGAGTATGAGGGTTCCAAATGGTGGAAGATTTAGTGAGTTTGAGCACCCAGCAAGTGTCCAGATATTAGCTATGGATACATAGAAGAAACAATACATCATTGATGATGTTGTTGCCTTCAGTAATGCCAAGGAATATTACAAGAAGATTGGAAAAACTTGGAAGAGAGGTTACTTTCTTAATGGACCACCTGGGACCTGTAAGTCCAACAATGATTGCAGCCATGGCTAATCTTCTCAACTATAGTATCTTTGAACCCAAACGCAGCTATACAGAATAACTCAGATTTGATGAAGCTACTCACCAGTACATGCAAGAAGTCTATTATTGTCATAGAAGACTTAGATGGCTCTCTAGCTACTTGGTGGAAAGGAATGAAGGACATGGCTCGCAGAAAACTCGATTGCTCTCTCTGGGCTTCATCACTTCATCAATGGTCTTTGTTCAGCTTATACGCAAGAAATGATCATAGTAATCACTACCAACCAGTTCCTAAAAAAACTAACCCAGTCTTGCTTTGGAGAGGAAGAGTTAATATGTACATTGAGTTTACATATTGCACCTATCAAGCCTTCAAGATTCTTGCCAAGAATTACTCAGATCTTGATGATCGTCATTTATTTAATTAGAAAAAATCAAGTTTTTGTTAGAGGAGACAAATATAGTACCAGCGGATATCGCAGAATATTTTATGGCTAGATACCATTCAATAGACGTCGATAATGGCTAGGTACCATTCAGGCATGTCGAAGAAATCATCAAACCGCAAAAACTAAATTGTGGCTGGTTTCTGACAACCTAGTATGTTGTGGAACCCCAGGTTTATCGGATAAATGGCAGCCTGAAGTGATCAGACCGCAAACACTAGCAGAATCAAAAAAGCTTTGTGTTGCAGGTTTTTGACAACCTAGATTATGTTGTGGAACCCCAGCTTTACCGGATAAATCCCAGCCCGAAGTAAATCAGACCAAAAATGCTAGCAGAATCAGAAAAGCTTTTAGTGTTGCAGGTTTCTGATAACCTAGTGTGTTGTGGACACCGAGGCTCGTCAGATAAATGGCAGCCGAAGTGATTAGACCGCAAACATTAGCATAATCAGAAATTTTTTTAGTGTTGCGGGTTCAAATGCTAAAATCCTAGAGTGGCAACCTAGTATGCGTGAATGACCAGACCCATATAAACTAAATCGAAAACACATCACATACATAAAAGCTTTTAGTGTTGCAGATTCTAATTATACTACAAGCACTATAAGATCATGATTTTAAGTTAAAAATGATATTTGAAATGAACACATAGATGATCAGAGTTCCAGGGAGGTTTATCTGGGAAAAGAATAAATCAGAAACAGAGGCTAAGATAAAGAAGATCAATCAGTGGAGTTTGACCTAAAGACTGTAAAATCGTAGCAGAGAATAGGATGATCAGCAAGAGTGAGAAATTCCTCTACCAATAAACTTATGGATTTTCAAATAATCAGATCGCAAGATCAAAGCACTAACACCGTAAAACTTCAAAGAAGCAGAGACAATTACGGTCATTAACGAGAAGAGATCTAAAGGTTACTGTTCTTGAAGATCACTATGCTATAATAACCTATGGCTGTTCACTGCAGAACTATGATGTGATAAGTAGCACTTGGCATCACATATGAAGAAGCTGAGAACTGGGATTTGCAGAGTCGGTAAACTAACACATAACTGATAGGACTGCTTTGGACTAAGAACAAAGCAGACCTGTTTCCATATATGGGGAATAAACAAAGTTTGATTGATATAAGAACGATTTTGTTTTATTGCACGGAGATAAGTAGTTATTGTACGAACAGCTCGCAGGGAAAGGGGAAAAGAATGATCCTGAAAGACTATAAAATGTCTAGAACGAGAAACCAAAAGTAACCGAATCGAGACGGAGATACCGAAAAGTTTGATGAGATATCCAACCATATGTAAACATGAGCTTGATGGAAGGAGGAAAGCCTGAGAAACCCGATCAAAGAAATCCACTGAGAGCTAGATAGATGGAACACACTTCCATGGAAAAGGATTACGGGGCAGAGCAAACTATTCAAGTGGACATGATAAAAGCTTGGAACAAGTTCTCTGCGGTACGCTTTTGTTCAGGTGTTCCGGAAATGAGAGCAATGCGACCGCCATGGGAATTTTTGGAATCAGAAATTTCTATCATAGCTCCTGATATCTGAGAGAGAGAGAGAGAGAAAGGGCACACATCATGTGAAAATGTTATATAGGAAAGAGGGAAGAAGAGACGAACGAAGCTATGGTGATCAGAGAGCAATGAGGAAGGAAAATCAAAAAAGCTTTTGAACAAACCCTTCTTATGTTATCCAAGTTGCCTCCTCCTCTGCCCATAACTTTACCCACTGCATTAGCTGGGATTCGAACCTCCATAGTAGTAGATTGAGGCAATCTGTGAATGCACAAGATAATCAACAGGGGAAAGAGTTGAAAATATAATAATAATAAAAACGAAACTAACTTACCCTCCATATAGATTGGATGAGTAAGAAGACTTGGATCCATAACTGTTATTGCCCACCTGTTGTCCGAAAGACTTAAGTTATGAGTATGAGTTATAAACACAAAAAATGAGATAAATCTAGTTTGAGCAGAAGGAGGAGATGTTACCGGAAAACTTCCATAACCATAGAGTCCACCGCTCGAAGGAAGCATGCTCATGCTGCTCCCAGTTTCTGGTCTCCTATCGAAATCTACAGAAGCAACTTGCGGAACAGAAGACATGAAAGATGAAGGAAGTGCAAGACCAGTATTACTGCTACCCGAAGAGAAGAAATTGTTATTCTCAGATCTTGCAGGAGGTTGATTCCTGGAACCAATCTCTCTATCCCTTAATACATCATCTCGAAGCCTCAGAACTATCTGAATAAGAGCATCTCTCACATCGCTTACTTCACCCGATATCTATTTAAAGTAAGCAAAAAGAATCATACACTATTGGAGAAATTGAATAAAGCAGAGCTGAACGAATCTAAAAATCATTACCTCAACGAGCTCATCATTGGGATCGGCACACTTAGGCTTATTATTCCCTTTTGAGATGTGAATATTGGCCTTCGTCCTTTTCCTGATTTCACTTATGATTGAGCCACTTTTCCCTATAATGCATCCTATTACCTTAGAAGGTACAAGAAGTTGCATTTTAACTTTTTCCTCGTCTTCATCATTAATTTTCTCTTGAAGTAGAAGAACAGCTTCAACCGCCATAGACTTCAAATCATCAGGAGACTCTGTAGCAGTGACAGTGATAACACAGTCATCATCATGATTTGCCCTCGAGTCATTAACCTCGATGTGAGACCCGCTTGCTTGTCTTATTCCCTTAATGGTTGATCCTCCTTTCCCGATAACACGGCCGATTTTGGAAGAAGAGCAAATAACTTTTATAACCAACTTTTCTGATTTGGAAGACCCACCAAAACCATGAACCACAGGAAGAGCAGAAGCAGAAAAAACCGGCATTGGATTTGCAGCGCTTTCTCCATAACCCTGAGGCAATGTACCGATAAACGATGAAACATTGGCCCCATGTTGGAAAATAGGATCCTGATTTGGGTATAAACCGCCTTGTGGATAGATAGATAGATCTGACGGAATTATAATACTAGCGGGAACTTCTTGGACAGTTGTATCCAGAGGAATCTGTTCTCGAGGACTGACTTTGTACATGATTGCAGAAACAGCGAAAAGTGCCTTCTTCACAGATTCAGACTCACCAGATATCTGATTGGTAAAAAGAATAATACACATTGATTAAAACAAGCAAAACAACAGGCAAACATATGCTAACAGATTTTGCTGGAATTCAGATATACTAACCAAAACGATGTTGTCAAAATCCATAGCACAAGTGTGTGAAGGATCCGAAACATCTTTAGAGACAACCTTAACGTTAGCTCTAGTTCTACTCCTAATCTTCTTAATAATAGAACCGGATTTACCAATGACATTAGAACATTGACTAGACGGAACTAAAAGGCGACATTCTCTAATATCATCTCTATCAATCTTAGTGTTCTCAGCAGCAGTAGCTAAAGAAGCCACAATAGCATCATGGACTTTAAGAAGAGCATCTTGAGCAGAACACAAAGGAATTGAGTAATTCAATTCGCTATGCTCAATGTCGATAATGTCTTTCTTCTCCGTAACCGAGCAAAAGATCGTTATGACTCTTTCGCTACAACCTGGAAAAGGATCAACAACTTTGATTCTAGCTCTAGTTTCTTGCCTAATCAAGTTAATAACTTTGCCACTTTTGCCTATAACACTTCCCATGACTCCACTAGGGCATAAGATTCTGTAAACAACAACAAGATCGTCTTTGTTATCGGTCTTTTCTTCGGTTTCGTAAGAAAGTCTTCTCTTTTGGTTCCTATTGTTGTCATTGTTATTGTCTCTAGAACGATTATGAGTCCTCTTCCCACGCTCAACCATTGTTGACTGTTATGGAATTACAAAACCCTGAAACAAGAGAAAGCAAGATTCAAACTTTGAACAATTTGATCAAAATCTGAGAGAAACCCTAAGAAAAAAACTGAAATTTGAGAATTGGGTGGATAAGAAAAAACTGAAAGGAACAGTTTTTATGATTGAATTTGGAAATTGGTCAATTGGAGAATCAGAAAAGAAATCAATTCAAGCAAAGAACATACATACAAGGTGATTGAAGATTCTCAGCGAGGCCTCTCAGGAGAGAAGAAGAAACCTTTGTCCTAATTGTTAGAGAGAGAGAGATTTGTGATATTTGTCTGTTGCAGAGGAGAGAGAAGACGGCGAGGTGTTACTTTGATTGATCTCTTTCGGTTATATGAAAAAAGTCCCTAACTTTTGTTTTCGATTTGGTGTTTTATTAGTCTCTCAAAACAAATAGTATGTTAAACCTAAAATTTATTTTAGGTTTGAACTTGTCTTTTTTTTTTGTTCAACATTTTCTATTAATCTATTTTATTTCTTTTTTCTTTATAATTGTTTCGTATATTTAAAACTTGTCTCGTATTCATTAAACATTCATATAGTTTAAAAGATTAAGTATCCGTTGACCGTTGTTGTCAAGACAAGTATTACTCGCGGAAAAAACTATGCGGTGCTAAAGTTTAATGTTTTTTTTATTTTTCAATAAGAAATTATTTTTGATCCAAAGAGTATACACTAAATTTTAACCAATGATCTAAGTTAATTATTAAAATTAAATAGAGAACACATATAACCTACCGATGGAAGAAAACATATATCTCAAACAAATTGAAAACAACCCTATCAACATTGTCCACCAGGTCCTCCAAACGTAAGAGTTTCTCTAGAATCATAATCTACATACTTATAAAACATTAAACCATAACACTTACGATTATCCACATAATCTTCTACCTCGTTGGGATTGATATCCACAACTGTATAATCCGAAAGAACATATTTAAGTTGTTTCATGAAACAAGACCGACTCAGATCTTTTGTCGGAAACTCTCCAGTTCCCATAGGTGGGCTTGTCGTGGGTTGAGACAATTCACTGATTCCTGCAAATCCACCGAAATATACTTCAGAAGCTCCTTCTGCCATGTGACTTTGACGTGGCCAATACCCTATCATTATGGATCCTACCGTCAATACCCAATTTTTGGTCACTGGATCCTGCATTGTAACTTCACATGTTTAGTGACTAACTAGTATATAAATTTATAAGGAAATTAATCCATGCTTCTACTTGTATACAAATTTGATTTTATATCGGTTACTATTTTCTTAGTGGGGATTTTTTTTATTTTGTTGCAATTATTTAAAGGAATGCAAAAATTAAAATAAGAAAAGGCCCAAGCCCACATGCGAATTAGGCCCACTAAGGAGAGGGAACCAAAGTCCAAAACTAGGTTGGTTTGTGTTAGTTATTGGGAGGTGCTTAGTTTTGGTTCTTAGTAAATTTTTTGGTTTTTACCCCAATTTTTGACTCTTAGCTAAGAATCATTCTTTAGCAAAATTATCAATTACACCTTTAATTTTAATCTCTTTTGAGCTAAGAACCAAGTTAATAACCTCCCAATAAAGACGGTCTTATACGCGATTTTGTTTGAAAATGGTGAGAATCTGCTATTTTTTTACTATTTTCCTACGAAATTTGTTCGTACTAAATGTCCCGTAAAAAATTATAGTATCGTTTTTTCGTCAAGACTCCCATGCAACAAAAAAAAACCCATTCATTATTTTGCGTTTTCCTTTGCAAAATTTTGCCTTCAACGCACAACACAAATGAAATTTTCCTTTGCCTATGCTATGATTTTCAAATAATGTTGACTAAAAAAGACTAAAACATTTTTGAAGTCCAACACAAAAAGTTAACATGTAAACATTCATAGAAAAGTGATAAAAATGCAAAACGAGATAAGCAAATAAGCCTTATTTGTTTCTTAAGTTAGGGTTTTGGATTTGTACCTCAGCAACAGAAAGATGGACAGTGTTTTGTTTTCCTACTGGAACATTGACTTTATCATAAACCAAACCGGGGTAGATTGATTTATGAATTTGAACATAACCTCCTGGACATAACGCATTGTAACATCCTTTTTGATGGTTATCTGACTGTAATATATAATAGATTTGATTATGCATGCTCATTTTAACCAAAAAATAAGTTAAAATAATCATGAAACTCGAGAGAATAATTACAAGAAATCATCACTCACCATCCAAAACGTGGTTAGTCTTGGACGATCGTCTGGATATAAATTCGTATGCACCTATAGTGACGGATCGAGAGAGAAGTTTAGGGTTTAGATTTGAATATAAATTGACAAACCTCAATTAGTTCCGTTAAATGATTATTCAAATCGATCAATAGAGTTTAATTTGTAGTAAAATACTTACAGCCCAACCAAACTGGATGCTGCTCATTACGCTTCCTTGTATGTAATTAAGCCAAATCCAAGCCTTACTAAATTGATTTTGCACCACTCGGGGCTTGTTAATACTGAACAATGCTTGTGCTCCACGCCATTTTTTTGTCGTATTTTCAAATGTCCTAACAATTGCATACTACACATAAAATCATTACTCATATATCTATTTATACTATTAATTAAGACAATCCTCACCAAAATATATATTGTAGTTTTTGTTGCTTGAGGTACTTACATGTAGATGAGTCTCTGTAAATAATTTTGGCCGGTGGATAGGGTTCTTATTTTTTTGAGACAACACTGCAGAAGTGATAAGTTTATTTTTATCTTTTTTACGTCGATTGTTCTTTTTCTTCTTTTTAACCCTGCGACTGCGAGTTTGTTTCAGGAGACGGCCTGAAATAAACGAAAAACAAATATTGTGGTTACGTTTATATTATTTCTCTATTAAAGATCAAATTAGAACCACTAACGAAATTAATTATAACCTTTTTAGAAGCCAAAGGCAAGAGTGCTTACCTGCTCTTGGAATTTGTTGGGGATGAATAAGATTATTGGTTTTTGGTTTATGGATAGGTACTTGTCCCTTTGGACATTCTTCTGATCCCTTCAAATCAATCTTTCTAATTCTGTCATCTTTGGACGTAGACAGTATTGATAAAAGCTCTCGACTTGGTCTAGTCTACAATAACGTTTAGGTTTATTATTCAAACATATTTCTTTATAAAACTTGATTAGTATGTTTGCTGGCAAATGAATGATACCTGTATACGATGATTCTTCATTAGAGGATGTTGTAATGCAGATTGTTTGTCTATAGAGACGCATTCGAATTCGGTTTCTTGATGCTGCAATACAAATGCAACCATATCAATATGAGAAATTCATTAATTAGTTTAGTATACCAAATTACTTGATAACGAACATACCGGAGTTGATTTAGCGATAACATTGAGGTATATTAGACTTATCAAGAATAACTTCAGCCAAAGAGAAGCCATTTTGGGTTTTCTCTAAAGTAGCTGTTTTTTTCAAGAGTTTCTGTTTATTTCCCTCTCTCTCTCTTTTTTTTTTTCTTTTGGTTTTTGATTAAAAAGGCTATTGCATTGGTTACAAAAATAGGAAATATCCGTTTTTTAAGGCTACAAAAACTATGAAACCGTAGGTGATACTGATAGGTCTTTAAGGGAAGATAGAAGTAATCTTTAGCTGTTTTGTTATTGACTAACAAAATCAAATTTGACTAAGAAATAAAATCCTAAGCGATGTTTTAATTCAAAATTTAATATCTATAACAAGCGTTTTAGTTTTTCAAAAAATGGCTACATTAAAATCACTCACAAGTCACAAACATTCATCATATATGTAAGGCAAACAATCCTATAGAATGCTACCTCAGCAACTTTAATTTAAAAGTTCAAACAAATAAAATTTATAAATACTGTATGTTTAATTTTGACTAGCAAATATTATCTGAACGACATTTCGTTCAAATTTTATTTTTTCACCAAATAAATTTTATTTTTAGAAATCCAATTTTCATTATATAGTTTGTTTTCTTGCTACCACAGTACTTAAAATCAGGCTGAAAACCGAACAAAAAAGCTTTCGTTCGAGCCACGAGATGGAACCGGTTGGACAATGAGTCAATAAATTTCCAGTTTTCCAACGAATATAGATACAAGATCTATTTCACAAACCGTAGTACTAAATTTGACTTTTTTATTTATAGTTTTGGACGTTCATCAAGTAAGCAATTTGATTATCTCTTGTCGTTCTTTAGTTCTTTGATAGTGGAAGAAGCATATACTATAAAGGCAGAAATGCATAAAATATAATGTAAAAAAAATTCAAATAAAACTTGAGATTTATTTGCCTGAAAACGTGAATAAATGCTCTGAAAACTATTTCTCCATTTAAATAAACTCAAAACGAACACAATGAAATCAAAGAGACAGATAAATACTCTCGAAGATAATAGGACTCGATATAATAACCTCTCTGAAGAACTCTATCGCAACTCGCAAGTTATATAAAAAGATAATAAGAAGTTCCAAGTAGAAAACAGAAGAGAGAAAGACCTGACAAAATCAACCCAGTGAATGAATGCTCATAGTAACAGATAACAGAGGAAAAGTGAATCAAAGAAGAAGAAACACAAGTTAAGGCTGTACATAAAAACGAGAATAGATGATTGGAATATCGAGAGTTCTTTTTTTTTCAAACTGAATAAGAAAATTTCGGCCATCGTTTGTTTGTCAATAAATATACACAGAGGAAAATATTGAAAAGGCGTTTACCAGAGAGATTCTAAGCAAGATAATTGTATATCTGAGGGTTGCTTTTTTCCCTCTCCAAATATTCTCGATCGATCAAGCTTTCAATCCTCTTCTTCAGATCAGCAGGCTTTATCGGGAATTTCAGCTGCAAATTCACAAACACAATCCATTCATAGCGTGGTATATTAAATTTAGTAGAGTACTGAGAATGCCCATCATTATCATCATCATGAGTACATTACCAGTAGGACTGGACCGAGTAACGAATTTCATGTTTTTATACTGACATATTCTTTATCTGGTTAATCATCCCGAGACACCCAGTTTAAAATACAGTTCTATTTTTTAATCTTACTTTAGGATTTTGAAATCATCAAGCAGGATGAAAGAAAGTTACCTGTTGGAAGAGCTCAGTGATTAGAAGAGTATGGCTTAAGACTTTTCTTGTCTTCATAATACGAACAATGGCTGCATCGATCTGTAAGATAAGGGTGTGATGGGGAAAGCCATTTTGTCAAAAGCTTCTCTCATTAAGGAGCCAAGTTGTAAGAAAGATTTAAGAAAATAGTATCGTAAAGGAAAATTGAGCAGAAACCAACCTGGTATTGTCGGTCCTGGAATACTCTTTCCGTTGTACTTGTGTTCTCCTCCACTGTCTCTTTCATCTGGATTGCATTTACCTGCACCAGGAACAAAAGAAAGAATAGGTTCACTATATGCTACACAGAAAACAGTATCACAAGATTCTAGGATACTTTAAGTGAAGAGACCAAGAAAAAAACGACGTACCTTAATGCGATATAGCGGAGCTGCAAAGTCGTCATTAAACTCAAATTCATCACCATCTTCTACATCTCTTCCCTTTGGATTCTGCAAAAAACATTTACACAATAAGGCTCATCCTTGTGAAAAAAGGGAACGCCACAATCTCAGCAGTTTCTGCATTAGCTTTAAAGAGAGTTAACAGAGTCCAGATTTGGCCTAACCTTCTGCAGGACACGAACTTTCCCACAAGCAAGCGACTGCAACGTCCTCCTCAGCTCTTTGTCCTCTATGCTGGTGGAATCTTTAATGTCTTCAAAGCTAAGTTTCATTGCATCGTTAAATAACATCAACACAACAGCCTGAGACAAAAAGAAAAGACCTTTTTAAAGCAATTGATTCACACTGTAACCTTGGGAAGACAGGAAAGAGCTTAAAAAGGAAAAAGAGAAAATTCGACTGACCTGAAACAGGGAAACAGCCAGCTCCTTTTTACCTCTGGAGAAATCTGCCTTTAAAACACAGTGGCCTAATGAGTTTTGCCACATTAACCTCCTACCACTGTACTTGCTTAAATAGAACTCTTTGAAGATATCCTACGCAACAAACAGATAACTTAGAAAAAAGGCTTGTAAGAAAAAATCTAAAGAGGAAACGAAATAATACATAAGAAGAACTTTTGGTAAAACCTGATAGACATTTAGTTCATGAGGAAGCTTAACATCCATAGGTGGATATGTTGGCCAGTAACTGCATTATACATGAAAAGTTAACAAGCTTTATATATGTCATGCTATCACGCATTCCAGCAGTTGAATCCTGGATGAAATTGATACATAGTACGTACCCTGTTGTTAACACGTGGACACTCATCTCAATTCCCGATGGTAGTTTGGTTCTGGCCTGAGAAGATTGTTTGAATGACTCATTGATTTCCTTTGACAATTCAATATCCTGGAGAAAATTTCAATTAAACAGAGAGTTCAAGCTCATTAGGATTATTGTACATGTACACTAGCTCATTAAAGTAGGTCTGGTGCAGGATCATCCAACAATCTTATCTAAGATTGGATTAAGTAACAATTAATATGTATACTGGGATATATCGTAAGTGTAACAAAATATAAGATCATTAAGTTTGTTCCTTCGTAAAACTTAAACGACCAACATCCTTTTTGAAAATAGAGAAGGAGAAGGAAAGAGTACCTTGAACATCCCTTCGAGCTTGTTTGTAAACTGGCTACCACACTCAGTTTTAAGCTGTAGGCAAAACCAAGGTTGGGGTCAGTGGGTATGAGCTACCGATATAGAAAACAAATTGTGGGAAAGGGAAACACCCAGGAAGTAAATTTAACCTTAGATATCATGGATTTCTCGGCATCAATTGAAGCACTCTTTCCCAACAGGAGTCTCTTCGCAAGATCCTTTTTGTAAAATGCTTCGAACACATCTTTACCCTTTGAAAAAAAATTAAAAATCCATCAGCAAAACCGATATCTAGAAGATCAAATAGCTGGTTTACAGACCATGCACTGGGCCTCGATTTCGTGATTTACAGTGACAAATACAATATAGATGTAAGAAATTAGAGATAACCTGGATAAATCTGAACAAAACCAAGACTTTTTCAAGTGTACTCTCCAGTTCTTCTTCAGAAGTACCCTTATTCCCAGCACGGAGCTTCTCGTCCAAAAACTTGGCAATAAGCTCAGCTGGCCGGTTCTGCAAAATAGATCAAGAGCATAAGATGTATATTATTGGGATGCATGCTAAATCAGAGTATTTGGTAACCAAATGATATATACTAGCAAAAAAACACTACTGTAATCAGGTCCAGTGCCCACAAGAAGCTTGTTCTCAAAATTATTATGTTTGAAAATTGTATCCACTGCCCAAAGATGTCTCCAAATCATAGCAATACAATGCTTAACCAATAACGAAAAATCTCTAGATTATTATAGAATATAAATTCCTCAATTGCACCATTGTAACTTAAGGTTTGACATTTCCACAATAATCAGCATGTTGTTTTTAGATGAAAGTAAAATTGTTGGCAAGAGACTCATGCAACAATCAAGAAAATCAATATTTAATACCTGACGAAGATTAATCAGATGCTCAAATGAATCTTTGATTGTGTTACCAAATGATTCGTTCTTATTAAAGCTCTCTTCCCATATTACGTCAAGAGAAGCCTTGAAGTCCAATAGTGATTGTACCATGTCTTTATCTTTCTCTTCATCCATAACAATCTTCTGCCCAGTTTTCCGAACATATGAACTTAGCGCCTGCCTCAGAGACTCAAGTGCATTGACCCTAGAAAACAGGGTTTGCATCCTCTGAAGGTCCTCAGTACGACGTCCATCCATTAATGTTGTAAACCCCTGGAGATGTTCAGAGATAAAGTAAGACTACGACAAACTAAAATTAGCTAATATGCACACCGCCAAAAGGATAACAGGAGTGAAACCTTATCAAGAACAACAAGTATATGACGTTCGAGAAGCTGCCTTTCAACAGTTGCGATCAATGGTTTCCTTGTTACTGCATCTATGTAGAGTATGCATCTTTCATTCTCTTCATGCAACCTTCCCTGCACCAATCACCAGTAGAAACCTTAGAAAGACTATTAACATGTACTGCAGCTTATCATAAGGAAACTATATGAAGTCATGCAAGGCACCTCAACATGCTTCAGGTACTCCGGAACGTCAGACTGCTGCATGTATTTCATTCCTTCAGCAGCGTAAAATTCAGAAGTCCCTTCAAGGAAAGGTTTCTCAAAGCTATCCATATATATTCCCAGTGCAGTAAACATCTTCAAAAGATGGCTTAGTAGAGTCCTATTAACAGCTTCTGCTAATCTGCAGGACCAATATCATGCAAGAAAGGTCAGCAGATTCAGATTAAAACATTATCCAATATATAAATGACTTACACTAGTGCTGATTTGCCTTGAAATTTTACCTATAACTAGTTATCACTACTAGACAGGAATAGTTCATAGACCATCCAAAACTTCCCATGATTCACTCAAGCCAGAAAAATAAGTTGAGGTAATGGTGGC